TTTGACCATCAACTCCTCCATAAAACTATATCAAATGAAACATCAGACCTAGTGATAGGATTTGTTACTAACTATTTTCATAAATGTTAGCAAATATTTGTATGGATTAGATTTTATTCGACAATACACCTGCCATACAACAAAATATACCTCCGGCCAATCAAACACGGAACATAGATTGAGAGCCCACAAAATACTGCAAAACCATCATATTTGAGACCTATCCGATGTGCATTGTCATACGGGCCCACATGTCATACACTGGGAGGAGGTCGGCGGCCATAGGCGGTTTGCCTTGTTTGGCCAAGCTGAGAAAATGGACATTTAGCCACGTTCAAAAAGCGGTTTCGCTAGAATGCCATTCCGAAAACACATTTCGTTAAAATGCCAATATGAAACGCGTGCTCACCGCCACTTTGCCATTTTGGCCATTTTGTGCATTTTCGAAATCATTTTTCACTGAAATGCTTTCCCTGGACCAAAATACCCCTGACGCGGGCCCTACCTGTCATACTCTCCCACCTCTCTTTTTCCCCTTCTTCCCCTCTTCCTCTCTCTCTCTCTCGGACGCCATCGGAGCGGCAGTGGCCGGGAGACGGGCAGTGGCCGGCGGCCGGCGGCCGGCGGCTGGCGTCAACCAAGCGAGCGAGCGCCCTGACGTCTCTCCGGCCATGGCGACCACGCCGGCAGCGACAGCCGCGGCGACCTAGCGGCGCGAGCTGATGAACTTGGCGGCAACGGTGGCGGCGCACGTGCTCTTCTTCCCGGCGTCGGGGCAGGGCCACATCAACTGCATGATGCACTTCGCCATGGGCGACATCGTGGAGCTCCTGGAGTCACTGGGGACCAACGGCAGCCGGGTGAAAGGGGATTGATGCGGCTGGGGCAGGGGCGGCATGACGATCCTCGACGGTGGCAAGGATAAGGTGGTCGGCGGGGACAGCGAGCGCCTGAAGAGAGCACGATAAGCCGCTGGCGACGTCGTGCCACCACCTCGCCGAGCTCCGCATAAAGCACGCGCACTCCGCGGTCGCCTTCTCCACGCGCTGCGCCGCACCCGGCGGCGATGCTTCCTCCTGCCCTCGTTCCCGCACAAGAAGATGCCTCCTTCTGCTCCGGTGGTTGGCGGGACAAGGGCGGTGGCCGCGGCGGAGGCGGTGAGGGTGGGAACATGTTTGCGTTCTTGGAGGACGAGGCGAGGACACCGACAACGCCCACGGGTCTAGCGGCAGCAGCACCTTGTCGTTCTTGGTGCCTCTCTAGGGGCCTTCTCATTCTTCACCTCGCCGAAGCAAGCGGTGACGACCACGGGCACCAATGCCAACGGAGGCTGTGGTCTCTCCCTTGCCTTCCCTGATGCCGGCGAGCACGGGCTCCACCGACACCAGCGGCTTCTCCTCCTTCCCTTCGTCCTCACCCAACAGGGGTAATTCCGTCTCATCACCCGACATTCTAGTGAAAATGATTTCAAAAATACACAAAATAGCCAAAATGGCAAAGTGGATGTGAGTGCACGCTTCATATTGGCATTTTAGCGAAACGCGTTTTCGGGATGGCATTCCAGTGAAACCGCTTTTTGAAAGTGGCTAAATGTCCATTTTCTCGGCCAAGCTAGGGGTGGCGCTCTGCCCCATCGTTTTCCATGTGGCAATCTCCCATTGGCTGATAATGATGGTTGTGGGTGTACTGACCTCTGTAACCGCTATTTGACACTATGAAACCAGGGGGTCATTTCATTTGCAACACACAACTCAAGTTGAGTACAACTCACTTTCATTCAAGGCTACTCTCTAGTAGAGTATTAGAAAATAGAGTGAGAGTGAGGGAAAGTTCTAGAGAAGTATCGGAGTTGTCGGCACTCCCTTCTCTCGTGTACCTCGGCAAATGCTTCTTTAATAAAGTGAGTATTCGATCGAGATTTCCTTTTGGTATTTAATTTTCTTATTAAGTAAGATATATTTTCATCGTTGCGGGTTTATCGCTTAGTATTTCTATTAAGTGTTTTAGTACTAGAACTCTAGATAAAAATGAAAGTTCATGTGCGAGGCTAGAGTAGTAATCAATAACATAAAGGTTGTGTCTAGGTTAGAAGTTATTTTTGTTTGATGTGTGGTCCATGGGTTGTAGAGATAGGTGGCAAGTGGTGACAACTATGTCTGACCTTTGTAATCCTTCATGTTCGGATACATTATAAAGCCGTAGAGCGGACTCAAATGGTAGACCAGGGAGAGCGATGCCTCCCTGGTCAAGTTTATTAATCCATAGAAATTCTTTCTATTCTAATCCTATTCTTGTATTATACACACATGTTCCATGTGATTCGATACCCTTGAAATACTCTGTGGTGAAGTGCTACAGCTATCCTTCCGCTTATGGATTTATCTGTGATCGTATCAAATACCAACATGTGTCTCGCCTCTTCTTCGTCGGCCAGCCCACCACCAGCTCCCTTACTATCATTGCCTGGATCTCCACTCCAGGTCGATATTCAACTCCATGATGTCACCTCTCACCGTCCTAGAACCAGCTACACTGCCAATTCGTAGGGCCTATCACTGTAGGTTTCCCTATTGGCAGTGGGTCGGTTACAATGTTGCCAACGAGAAACACTATCGGTTGATATCGAAATATTTCTACCACACCAAGTAACAAATGGCAAGAGTAATTGTTTTAACTATGTGATTCCCCGCAATTTGCTACGAGAACTCTCAATATATATTTTTCGACAATCAAGCTAGGAAATAGGAATAGAAAGAAAAAAATAATAGAACATTAGTGTTTATTAGTACTTATCATGAAATAAACAAATAATACTCACGCTTTAATGTGCAACATATTGATAACTATGTGTTAAATATTATAAAAATGATAATATATTTGTTAAAATATTGCAAATGATATGAGGGTGATGATCGGATAAGTTTGCATGTTGATTTATATGTAATTAAATAAATTATAGATAATGTTGTATGTCACTATGCTCGTATAAGATTCAATATGTAATTATTGCTAGTGGGTGATGATGTGACACGGTTGCATATTGCTAGTGGGTTATAACTTTATAGGAAGTATAGATTTTAGTCACTATTTTCTCTATATGATTGCTCTTATCTCTCACGTATCATCTTTTAAATAGATAATAAATTACTTTTAATCTTAATTATTTTTATACATTGTGTATTAGAAATATTACAACGTAAATATTGAAAGTTACGAGCAATTACTATGTAAGTATAGATAATTTATAATGTAATAAGGACGTGACTCCCGCTCGGGCGTTCGATGGGAGGAGATTAAAATCGGGCGCTGATGTCAGCATGACGTTAGCGCCCGATTTACGTGCAAAACTACTTTAAATAGATTTTTCTCTTAAATTACTTATCCAAATCAAGATCCGATTGCACCATTAAATTCGTTGCAATTAAATCTTCAAAGAAGACCACACATGGATATATTTCGTCGAAAAAAAATTAGCTTATTATTGAATTATTTTTAAATGTTACACGATGTTTCACTAGGTATATCGGAATTGTTTCACTAAATAGATCGAAAATGTTTCACTCGTTTAAATCGGATGTTGTTTCACCTTATATAAAAACAATGTTTCAGCAAATAGCGAAAGAATGTTTCAGTTCACTGCAACATTAGATCTATATATAGTGAAACATTGTGAGTACACTACGTGAAACATTTTTCGGTGGAACAAAAAATAAACCAAATTCCCTTAATATGGGGTTTCCAAAATATGTGGGTTTTTTGTTGCAATGAAATGTTTCGTTCATTGCAACATTAGATCTATATATAGTGAAACATTGTGAAGGTGAAATATTTTTTGGTAGAACAAAAAATAAACCAAATTCCCTTAATAGAGAGTTTGGGTTTTTTTTTACAAAAGAATATTTTAATACACTGCAACATTAGATCTATAAATAGTAAAATATTGTAAATACACTAGGTAAAACATCTTTTATGAAAAAGGGGAGGGAGAAGTGGGTGGGCCCAAACAGGTGCGCACATGGGGGAAGGGCCGGGGGAGCGACCGATTTTCCCACCTCCCCCAGTCGACCGATGCTGGGCATTCAAATGTGTAACTTTTCTTAGTAAAAAGTATGGCGCCATAAGTGAAACATGCAAGTTGCTTGGGGTTTAGGGTCTTGGGGTTTAGAGGATGTAATGGGATTAGCTAGCTAGCCCAACCATATTTGGATTAGCACACATTATTACATTCGTTCCTATTCCGAGTTGAATTATTCCCACTCATTATAACGACGGCGTTGCTATACGTACGACTAATTTGTTACGATAGTTGTACAATCAAACGTTTCTCTTCTAGGCTCATAACATTGTAAGTTCTGGTCCCACACTGGACCTTTTCTAGCGTTGAGCCCATATCCAAAAACCCAAGCTAATCACATCATCGTCCCGACATCTTATAATTAAGCTTCCTGGCACAGCTAACCAGAGTAATTTATTTTTCCTAATCAATCTTATATACTCGTGCTGTCGCTCAACACTTATCATGTGACCCAGCTTAAGTTAAGTAAATTATTTTGATGTGAACCTAGTTTAAGTAAATTACCCATACACATATGTTCCTTGCACCTCGGACCCTGGTAGCATCACCCCTAGTTGGAACTATTCTAAATTTCCAATGGCACAAATCAGGATAAGATGCAGCAAACTTCATGTATGAGCCAATGTTTGGCATGGTTTGTATTTATTTGGATACAGAGAAAAAAAGGCAAAGGAAAATAATGAGTATACGTGTATGGGCTTCAGATCCATGAGCTCTTGGGCTGCAACATGCGCGTGCACCACGTAGCGTTACGATGCCAAGAGCCGTCTTCGTTTGATCGTACAAAAATCGTAAAAAAAACATCGTATGCGTAGCGGAGAGTCGAGGCCGGCACCACGTACGTACGTCAGGCGTATCCGTGTACCGCGCATTGGCCGATACAGCTGTTACTCCGAGTCGGAGTCGAATCACAGGCGTGCCCATCGATAAAATCAGGCGGCGGACGGTGCGTGCGCCGCTTGCTGCATTCGTTATAGCGCAAACCGATCGATTTCCTCTCTTCCTCCGAGACAATCGAATCGATCCGTCTCACTCTCATCGTCGATCGACTGCCCGCCGCCGTCATGCCGCTGCTACCGCCGGTGAGGTACTACGTGCCGTTCGAAGAAGCGGACGACAGGAGCCACGACCTCGAGGATGAGGAGCCTTATTGTCCTCCGCCACTGTCGCCGCCTTACTCTCCGGCACAGTCGCCGCCGCCGCCCACGTCTCCCGCCTACCACGACGACCATGCCGATCACACCACGAACAGCTGCACCTTCACGAGCGCCGGCGGCGCGTACAGCTACACCATCACGAGCGCCAACGTCGGGGACTACTTCTACTTGGACGACGACGCCGACGCCATGGATGAGGAGCAGCCAGATGAGCCGGAGAATCGCCCGGACCCGCTGGTGGTGCTGCAGCAGGCGGAGTCCCTCGCGGAGTGCGCGCTGCAGCACTACAACGGCGACGCCGCCAACGAGGTCAAGTACGAGCTCGTCGCCGCCACCGCCACCGCCACGGCGAGCGACTTCATGGACTGCTGGGACGCCTTCTACTACCACGTCAACTTCTTCGCCAGGGCCGCCGCCGGCGCCGATGATCAGGCTGCTCCGCGCTTCTTCTTCGCCGAGCTGCGCCACCGCACCGCCATGCTCCCGACCTGCCTCGTCTCCTTGGACAACGACGACGAGATACAGTTGGATCCCCAGCCTTTGTGTTGCTTTGATGACGTGCCGTTTGGTGTCGTCATCAAGCATCCAAAGGGTTGGAAGATGATCGATCGGGACAATACTCTTATCAGTTCCCCTTCCGTGTAATTAAACTGCTTGCGGATTGTAATACCTGGACTGTTACTTGTAAATAAAGCACTGGTAAATTGATTGAGCAAGAACTCGTCGTTTTTGTTGCTTGCTGTGGTATATTATCCGGGTGAATATCAAATAACATCCAAAACCATCCACTGATGCACATATGCTGAATTGCCGGTATATATATACAACGAAATTTAATTAGTTAGAGAAAAACAGTGCATGTCATCCAACTAAATATAGAATGCATAGCTTTGCTTTTCCTACTATAAACTTACATATATATGACCATTTTCAGTACCAGCGGACAAACTCTATTCAGGAGAAGTCAGTATTTTCATACTATTAGAGGTGATAATGTTCAGGCTTTCAGAAGATTTACCTTGAACTTGAACTAAGCTCGACAAGCGAAGCATAGGTTCCATCCTTTATCCGCATCAGTTCATCATGCCCCCCTTTTTCCACTATCGCCCCGTTCTTGAGGACGCCGATGATGTCCGCGCCTTTTATCGTCGACAGCCGATGCGCCACCACCACGGTCGTCCTCCCCACCATCACCCGGTCCAGCGCCTCCTGCACCACGCGCTCCGACTCTGCGTCCAGCGCGCTCGTCGCCTCGTCGAGCAGGAGCACCTTGGGGTCCTTCATGATGGCCCTCGCGATGGCGACGCGCTGCTTCTGCCCGCCTGACAGTTGGATCCCTCTCTCGCCGACGACGGTGCTGTACCCGTCAGGCAGAGCCGAGATGAACTGGTGCGCGTTTGCTGCTTCGGCAGCGGCCATGATCTCCTCCTGAGATGCCTGTTCTTGCTTCCCATAAGCTATGTTGGCGTGGATGGTGTCATTGAACAATACCGGTTCTTGTGCCACGAGCCCGATCTGAATACGAAGCCAGCTGACCTTGAATGTCTTGAGATCCACCCCATCAAGAAGGATCTTGCCGGTATCCGGGTCGTAGAACCTTTCAAGCAGCGCAATCGCCGTGGACTTCCCGCTTCCGCTCTCTCCAACCAGTGCAACAGTCTGAAACCATAATGTAATGTAATTAAGATCAACACAAGCTAGCAATGTGTTAATGATACTAAATATGTTCACTTAGTTCAGATAGAAAGCAACCTTTCCAGAGGGAATGCACAAGGAGAGATCTTTAAATATTTGAATATTTGGGCGTAGGGGGTAATTGAAGCACACATTATGGAACTCAATGTCACCCCTCACACTTGCAATGACCACACCCTCCTCGCTGCTGGAATCAATCTTGGATTTCCGGTCAAGGATTTCGAAGATAGAAACAGCTGATTCATTAGCCTTGGTGCTGTCTGCGCCTATTGCACTTGTTCGTGAGATTCCACTGGTAGCCAAAACTAAAACAAAGAAGACCTGACAGCCACTGGATAAGTTGACTAAAATATCAAAATGTCAATGCTATGTAAAATGGATAAGAAAATTTACGCACCCTAAACACTTCAGGAAACGTTGCCACTCCTTGGTGAACAAACTTTGCTCCAACATAGAAGCAGAGAGCATAAGTAAAGTAGAACACAAGGAAGGAGAAGCCAAAACCCAAGCCACCAACTACACCTTCCCTTATTCCTTGCCTTACTGGAGATTCACATTTTTTCTCATATGCTTCTATCACTTTCTGCTCAGCACAAAATGATGCCACAGTTCTGATGCCTCCAACTGCATCAGTTGCTACTTGACTTGCTTCTTCATACTTCAGCTGCATTACAACAAAGAATAACATCAAACAACGTGTTGCATGAGAAAGCATCTGTAAGGGTAGCACAATGCTCATGATTAATCCATTGTATGTACCTTTGCGTTTTTGTTGAAACCTTTCAAAAACTTCATTTGAGCATAGGCTTGGAAACCAACCAAAGGAACTACCACTGTTATAATCAATGCCAGCTTCCAGTTTGCCACCATTGCTATTGTAAAACCTGATATGACAGTTGATACAGTCTGGACATTAAGTGCCAAATTGTCTCCAACAAGGCGCTTCACATTCAGAGCATCAACAGACAGCCTTGCACCAATCGATCCACTACAACAAATGTTGAGACTTATGGCGTAAGGACAACAGTAGAAAAATAGTGCTAGCTGATGAGCACAATTCTTAACTTTTTAATGTATAGATCTGGAAAATCTAAAACCATATGTATAGTACGTGTACTATCTTAACCATCCAAAGCACTTTGAGATTTATGCAAGGATATTATTCCAAGGAATAGAAGATGGGATGGTTAGTATGAAATCTGAATGTTTGCATCAATCTGGAGGCACATTTGGTGAATGTGATGATGCACCTGTGTGTGCATGCATGAAAACCATTCTAAATATCCACCTGAATTAATATAGTACTGGTCATTTTGGGGGGATAATGCTACCTAGTATATACTGTTCATCAAAATGCACTTGTCTCTTTTTTCCAATGTGCCTTTGTTTATGAAACACTCTTTTTGCACCACATAACCAGTGGAAAATTAACGTTGTTTCAGGGAAAGTCATAAATTATGATTTCATAGGTGTTGAACTTTTCAAATGGGAAGATGAGAAACAAAGGACTGTGAAAGATTAGTAGGGATTATATTACATGCCAAAACTTTTGTTCAATATTTTTAAATTCTTTGCTATTCAGTTGTTTTGAGTAGACTAGAGAGTATTCACCATGACATTGGTGTAAGTACTGGAACATGGAATTTTGATAGAATAAATCATAGGACAAAAGGCAGAATAATATGATGAGAGAAAGACTGTGTACACACCTAGAGTGTTCAGGTTTGTCAAACCAGTTGATTTCCTGGTGCATGACACTTCGGAATGTCAGTGAACGTATACGCTCCACAAGCTTTCCACCTGCTAATCCAAACAGGAAGTACTCGGTTGGAATCAGAACAAATGCAGAAGCTCCCACCACAACAAACATGCTTGCCCAGAACCTGGAGTCCTTCAGGAGTTCTGATGGTGGCTCATAAAACATCTTTATTGCACTTGAGATCAGTATGCCAAATATTGGAAACATGAGTCCATGCATTGCCGCGGTTACAGAACCAAGTACAAGAACAAAAGCTTCTGGTTTGTTCAGATAGAACAGTCGACTGATTGAAGCTTTCTTCTGGCCACGAGGCACTTTGTCTGTAGTCTCCTCCATGCCCAGATCATCCTTGAATTCCATGGGATCTGGAAAGTCAAGGGGAGCAGGGATAGGATGCCTGCCACTATGCCCAAAAGAGGAGCCTTTAGTAATTGATCTCCTAAATGAGGTGCTTTGGCTTCTTGGTTTTACATTTATAGACCTAGAGCCTGAATCGCTTCTTATTATCATGTCAGTGTCGTCATTATGGATTTCAGCATCCTGCTGTGCCCCTTGGAGCTGGATCAGCTGAGCATAAGCACCTTCAGGTTTCTTCATCAGTTCTACATGAGAACCTACTCGGAATTGAATAACACAAACAACCAGCAAGTCAAAATTAAACCTGTAGATCAAGTAGCGTGCTGAATCATGTCGAATAAAAAAGAGAGGGCCTATAACTTTAAGGGAGTATGACGGTTAAAACCCACATACCCAAAGTAAATAGGTTGTTGTCTATCTGTTGATTAGTAGTCAGAAGCAGCTTTGATTTATCTAGTTAAGATGTGTTAATTAGCCAATTAAAATGTGTAGAAAACTTGAGAATTTAAAAGTACCCTGTATCATGAGCACTACACAGTGGGTATTAGGTTTGTACTCATACTGTCTGCAGGAACAACATGTTACTAATCGATATGAAATTTAAGATAATCTCTTTCGAAAGTTTTTAAATGCCATACCTTGTTCAACCATCTTTCCCTGCTGTAGAACAGAAATCACGTCAGCATTCTTCACTGTACTTAGGCGATGTGCAACAATAATTGTAGTCCTTTCAAGCATTACCCTATTCAAAGCATCTTGAACTACCCTCTCAGATTCCATATCCAATGCACTAGTTGCTTCATCAAGTAACAAGATCCTAGGATTTTTTATAATTGCTCTAGCAATTGCTATTCTTTGCTTCTGCCCTCCGGACAATTGAATTCCACGTTCCCCAACCATCGTCTCAAGACCCTGCAATGTTCCATAACCATTAGATATTGATCAACAATAGAAACAGAATTAACATTATGTGCATTTAAATTTGTGTTGTACATTTGGCAACTTATCAACAAATTTTGCTGCATTTGCAAGCTCTACTGCTCTCTTGATCTCTTCAAGAGTTTGATCCTCCTTCCCATAGGCGATGTTTTCCCTGATTGTACTTGAGAACAACACTGGTTCTTGGCTAACAAGACTGATTTTTCCTCGTATCCATCCCAGATTCATTCTTCTAATGTCAATTCCATCAATCAAGACTTCCCCAGACTGTGGATCATAAAATCTCTCCACCAAGCTGATCACAGTTGACTTTCCACTGCCACTCTCTCCAACTAGGGCCATTGTTCTGCCACTTGGTATTTGCAAGGAGAATCCATTGAATACCAAATATTCCGGCCTGGTAGGATAGCTGAAGTACACATCCTTCAGTTCAACATCACCCGTGATGTCTTCCAATATGATACCTTTGGTATCACATACATCAATATCTGGCTGTCTTTTGATTGTCTTAAACATTCTATATGCTGCTCCTTGACCTTCTGCAAAAGCTGTTATTGATGGTGTTGCCTGACCTAAGGACCTACAGAAGACATATAAGCCAAATCAGGAACCAGATGACCTGAAAAATGACAGTGACATGGAAATAATTTATTTCACATGTTAATATGACTAGTTTCACTGCTATTGGAAACTCTGATTGCTGTAATAACTCAGTAAGTCATGGCCCATGTTGTCCTGGGAGTAGTAAAGAACATATTTTGCATTTCAACAAATGGGATACACAGAGAGGTACATTGACAGAGAAATATGGCTAATTATTCATTAACCTTTAAGTTTTATCAGATGTTCTGTTCTTTTCCGGTGTATATTTTAGCATGTATAGTGTTATGTAAACTCAAGAAACAAAATGGTCCATCTACCTGTAAACTCCTTACAAAATGTAAATGCAAGCCTACAATGCTCGTAATAACCACCTGACATGTACCCACCTTCCCATAATCTACACTAACAAGTAAATTCTGTAACAAGTTTTAATCTTATCTTAACTATTCATGGGAGCAGGGTTAATATATGAAACTTACATTGCACCCATCATGACAGACATTAGAACATTTATAACTATGCCACCATTGTATCCACGGTTGACTATCAGTTTCGATCCATACCAAACTGCCAAACCATAACTGCAAAACAAGATTGCCATTACGGTACCTAATCCAAGGCCATTAACAACACCTTCTTGTAGAGTAGATTCATAAGCTTTTCTTATGAATTTGTTATATGTGTTTATAGCTTGCTTCTCGCCATTGAATGAAGCAACCTTCATAGAATGTGCCAATTAAGAAAAAACAAACTGATTAACTTGGTAGGAACAGGAAATAGCTGACTCAGATATTAATTATCTACTGTACTGCTAGCACTCACGGTTCTAATGGCCCCAATAGTCTGTTCAGCAATGTTTCCAGCATCACCATACTTTTCTTGCATGCGGGTTGAGATTCTTGTCATCAACCTTGACACAAAAGCACCGGCCACCGCAATTGGAGGAATGCATGAGAGCAGCACAAGTGCCAAGAGCCATCCTCTCACAAATGCAATAATGAAGCCTCCAAAGAAGGTAGAAAGGAGTTGTATACACTTGCCACTCTAAGTAAAAAGGATGTGTTAAACGAATATGTAGTGCTAGTTAGATTTTGCTAGATGCTTATACTATACAAAAAGGAGTACATATTTATTTATTATTTAAAATCGATAGTTCATTATATTTTGCAAAATCTGAGGATGAGTCCATGTTATAGATCCACAATTCGTATTGATTGAATCAATCTCCATTTATGATCTGCTAACTTCAATGAAAAGGTATTTCACAAGAAATATGGTACATACATTATTGATATTGATCCATGTGAATACAGTGTGACTCAATAACTGTCAAACTTGCATACAGCCAAGGATTAAATAATTAAATATATCATACATTAGAATGGAGCTCAAACTCATATTTCTGTACTGTGGGGTATGATGTATGGGTGTATTCATGTAGCTAACATTGACTACTAAACTGAGTTATTACCTCAAACCATGTATGCAATGAATTAGATAAATTTAAATAAAGTAAATTGTTTTTCTGTGAGTTTGAACCCCCATGTCCTCTTTTTTCAGTTACCTCTTATTTTTTAGAGCTGGCTTTGAGTTTGTGTTCAGGTGGGTGGGTGGGTGCAACAAAAGAATCATTTGGAGCAAGATTTTCCATATGAACCATAGAGATCTGTTGCATCTAATGATGCACTTACTGGTAAGTATCTAGCAATGCATTGCAGAAAGGGAGTTGTATTTGTGTTCTCTCAATCCAAAGCACACTCTTTACACTAGATAAAACAAACTACCTTTTCTCCAATGGCATCTTGAATGAGGAATGTGTCCCCTGACATCCTCTCAACCACTTGTCCAGTGCTCATTTCCTTGTCAAAAAAGGCAATGTCCTGTCTAAGTATTGCCTTGAGATACAATGCCCTGATTCGTGCAGCCTGCCTTTCTCCAGTGATTGTCCAACATGATACCTCTACCAAAACATAGCCAATATATCAGGAAATTTTGTTTCTAGTAGTAGCCTTAAAACGATATGAACATCACTACTGTAGTATCAATACAGAAACACAAGTACATTACTACACCTATTATTCATCAAATTCGTAATCCAAAAAGAGATGGTTTCCGTCCAACAGTGGATATTAAGATGTCCTAATTTCGTTGCATTGGAAAGCCACTTACGAAGAGTTGAAACAAATCCTGCTCCAATGCCAAGGTAGACAAAATTCAAAATCACCTGAGAAAAAAAGAAAGAGCACCTTAATTCAGAGGTTAAGACGTTGAAAAAACATTTACATGACAAAACAAGCACCGATAATTTCACCTCTGCCCTATACGCTGCAACTCTGAAAATACATTGTGATTGATTGATTCTGTTCGTCGATACAACTACTATGATTGTGATTGGAATGTCTTGTTGGCTACTGATTCATATCCTATCAACCTTATTACTGACACATTTTTGAAAATAGAACTGATTATTGACAAGAATAAGTCGCCTACATGCCGTCGTAGCTTACTATTACAGATTTACAGTATTACTAGCATATACCCAAATCGAATCGAAATGAAGGGAAAACTATCAAGGCAATTTCAACCAAGTGACCACCTGATCCCAATCCTGCCCATTCTGAAAGCACGAATAACGCCTATTTCACCTCAGTATATCCCAACTTAGAAAGAAATCATCGCCCCTCAAATAGATCGCAAACTACACTAACAACAACAAAACCTAGTCTGGTAATCAGATTCGTGGGTTTATCAGGGAATACCGCATTCCACCCGTGGTTGGCTCAGATAGCCCTGCTGCATCTGCCGACTCGCTGTCGCGGCCGCGGAAAGCCGCCGCCGCCGCCGAGGGCGAAGCATGCTCCGGCGGACGCGACGGCGACGACGACGAGTGTTTTGCTCTGGTCTCTAAATTTGGGCCAAAATACTACCATGGCCCAAGAAGTTGCAGCTCGTTCGGTTTGGGCCTCGAAAGGCCAGTTTTGGGCCTAAAAAGAACTCAGTTTTTAAGAGAGAGCACATCGCGCGAGACCTCCAAGGAGACGTTCAGTAGAGATGAGTATAGTCTCTTAAGAAATAAAAGATTATTTAGAGACTTCTTTATGACAGTTGAGACGATAAAAGCTCTAATCATTAACTTAGAAAAATATTCATTTTGTTAATATCCTTTCCATTTTTTTATCCTCGTGCAACCATATTTTAATATTATAGTGATTAAGAGTCATTGTTAAGCCGTTGTTACGCATGACAACGATATTTTGTCTCTCCTTTTTCTCTTTCTTCCATATCAACAAGTATTCCTAGTTAGCGACGTTAAGAGACCACTATTGACAACCATTGTACATGCCCTAAATGGTTGAAAACAGTATCATCATTTTATTACTTTTACAAAAACAGATGGAAACAGTCATGAAATTTTTATATTTATGAATTCAACCGTTTAGTATCAACTTTAGAAATTGGAAAAAACAAATTGTAGAAACAGTAACCGTTGATAAAAAATATTATTATTATATTAGTTTCTCTTTTTTTTTTAAATGGTAACGTTTTCACCCAGCAATGGCAGTAGGTGATCGATGGGTTAGGTGGCAACACCGGGGTAGCAACAGCAACGCACGCAGAAGGCACGCACGCACCTTGGTGACCTTGGCGAGGACGTCCGGCGAGGAGGTGGAGCCGAAGGCGTTGATGACGTCGCCGAAGATGAACGTCATGAGCGGCTGCGCCATCCCGTTCGCCACCGCCGCCGCCGCCCCCACCGCCATCAGCGCCGCGTCCGCCCCGTCGGCGAACGCGAACATCCGCCGCACCGCCACGCGCCCCACGTCGCTATTCCCCGCCGCCGCCGCCGCGGGGCTCGACGACCTCTCTCCTCCTCCTCCTCCACCCCCATTAATGTCGCCGCCGTCCGCCGCCTCTCGCGCCGCCGCCGCCGCCATAGCTAGCTCTCTGATCGATAGATCGGTCACCTCTCTCAGGTCAATTCGTTCGCCATGTGCGCGTGGAGAGAATGGAGAATCTCTACACGCGATATATGATTACGTTGCAGCGGCCGGCAGCGTGTATAAAAAAGAAAGTACGGTTGGTTGCTTGGTTTGTGAGTCACAGGCTTGGGCACCAAGCCAAAAAAAATTACTAATAAATGCGGGTTACGGGGAGACGGCCGATGGAGACGACGACGCTCTCTCCATCGCGCTGCAGTTTAATTATGATTAGCAAAGTTAATCACGACTCTGATTGGCGAGCGCCCCCTGGTAACTAATGAAATGAGCGGGAGCTCCTGACAGTGATGCTCCAACAACGTCAACGCCTCAACGGGGCGAAAGGAATAAAACATTTCAGTTATTCAATAGCGGTAACATTTGATAGATGCTCATGTAGCGACGTACTCCCTAGTTACATGATGTTTTTTTTTTGACTTAAAATCAAACTGCTTTAAGTTTGATTAAATTTATAGACAAATATAGCAATATTTACATTAACAAATTAGTTTTATTAAATTAATAATTAAATATATTTTTATAGTAAATTTATCTTGGGTTTAAAAATATTACTATTTTTTTCTATAAACTTAGTCAATCTTGAGGCAATTTGATTTTGACCAAAGTTAAAACATATAAACTGAAACGAAACGTAGAGTAGCCATGTAAATGCACGATTTTTCACTATTACAATAATCATTTTTTCGATGCTAGGCTTTTATTTTCACTGTTGCCCCAAAAGAAAAAGAAAAGACGCTGCTAAAATGGTTGAGGTCACCTCAATGCCTTAAACCACTTATGTAAATACATTTTTATAGGTGGGTTCATAGGAAATCCGTGGGTAAAAATCAATTTATACTGGCGGTTCTATATAAAGTACCGCACTTGAAAATGAGAGAACCATTAAAATATGAAAAAAAAAATCGTAACTTTTTTTATGTAGTCAAGAGATCTACAACTTTATAGCCGAAAGTTCTTTCATTTCATATCTTCTAGGGGCTAAATATTCATTACAAGTTCTCATATCTACTTTAGAAAAAAAATATTGTTTTTTCTTCAAACGACCTTAGGTGGAGATATGTTCTACACTAAAATTATAGACCTCGACGAAATCTACAACTGTATAGTTGAAATTTTTTATATTTGAGATTGTTTAAGTGCCTAAATATTTTTGGTATATTTTACAAGGTGTTCTTTAGAAATTTAAAGCTTTCAAATTTTCAGAAAGTTCATATTAAGATTGAGGTAAATAAAAGTTATATTCTTACACTATTTTTAAAATATGACCTAGTTAATTTTTATTTAATTTTGAAATATCTTAGTTAGATAACATATCAACTCTCATATAGAGACTACAAGACATGAGTAGACAATCATATTTAAAGAAGTATTATCAAGGAAATATGGCAGGCATATTAAACAAAATATTGTAAATATTATAAAGATTATAGAAAACTCACTACTGGAGAGAACTGATCTTTGTTGGGTTGGCTGAAAATCACAATGGTCCCGGTTCCAAAAAGAACCAGGACTAAAAATCATCTTTAGCCCCAGTTGAAAAGCCTACAGCCATTTTATGGTAAACCGGGACTAAATATCATTTTTAGTCCCGGTAGAAAAAGTGTCCGCCCCCCACTCTTTTTATTCCCGGTTGGACTAAAAATCAGCGTATAGTATATAATCCCTCGCACTTATCCTCTAGCAACCACCTCTTCCCTTATCCTCCTCCTCTCTTTTCTTATCCTCTCCCTTTCCTCTCTCTATTCTATCCTCTCACGCATGCAGCAGAGTGAGCCGGGCTGGCTTGCGGCTGACGCGGGGAGGCACGGCGGGTGGTGGCCGGCATGGAGGGCTGCACGGCAGCCGTGGCCGGTGAGGAGTGCGGCGGCAGGCGGCCGGGCGCACGCAGAGGGCTGGCCAATGTTTTTATTTTTTTTCCTTTTTTCCTCTTAATTTATGGATGATTATTTGTTGACTATATATGTTGTTGTGGATGATTTGAGATTGTGGATGATGATTTTGTTGTTGTGAATGATTTGAGATTATGGATGATGATTTTGTTGTTGTGAATGATTTGGGATTGTGCATGATTTCGGATGTTGGGAGATGAACCATGGATGAGTTCGGCTGAAAAACAAGTGCAAATAGCTAAAAACAATGGTCCACAAGCAAATAAAAAAAGAAAAAAATATCTCTACCCCCGATTGGTAACACCAACCGGAACTAAAGATAGCGATCTTTAGTCCTAATTGGTGTTACCAACCGGAAGTAGAGATGCATCTCTACTCTCGGGTATTGAAACCAGGACTAAAGATCACCATCTTTAGTCCCGGATTTCTTCTTCCGGTTTGCTATCCGGGACTATAGGGGGTTGCCAGCCGGAAGAGAAGAGGCATTCTCCAGTAGTGACTTTTTTTCATCTCAATCGGACTTAAATTAATTTCTTTTATAAATTTTTAAAGTTTAAACATTTTGAAAGGATAAAGAAAAAAGGTATTTGTTGGCAGAATTATTAACGAGCCGCCCTTAAAATCTTAAAATGATTGTTACAGGATGAATTATTAATGAACACCCTTAAAATATTTTTTACGGGCAATTCTTATGAGGGAAGGTTATAAAAATCGATTTCCATGGACGGTTCTCTTCAACAACCACCCTTAAAAATCGGAGCACCACTAAAATAGGAAAAAAAAGAAATTTTGAGTTAGATGATGACAAAATTTATATGAACAATGTATCTCTCAATGGCACAACTTCGTAGTTAAACATTTGCTTCATTTGAGATAGTTTAGAGGGCCATATATTCATTACAAACTCTCAGCTTTATTTTGAATAAAAAAAGATGAATTTTTGAGTTTTTCAAATGAGCTCGAATAGAGATATGCTCTTTCTCAAAGGCTTAGAGCTCAACGCGAAGTACACGTTCATGGTTGATAATTTTTCCATTTGATATCATTTAGAGTATAAAATATGTGTTATAAGTTTTAGAGGGATGAAGTTGAAAGGATATGATGAGGAGGCTACACGGTGAGTGAGAGGTCCTCGGTTCGAATCATAAATACTCCACGCGACTAAAATTACATGACTTGTGACATGCAACCCTGTAGCAGACTACTAAAATATGAAAACAAAATCAAATCTTTTTGTGGCAACAAAAATAAAAAAAATGGATATCTGTTTGTATGGATGGTTCCTTAAGAGAGCCTCCAGTTGTTGGTATTTCTTAACGATATTACTAGAAATATAATTCCCAGCAATGACGCAGAAATACTTATGGTATATTATGGTTACAGAGTTCATCCGCAAGCACACGGATATACCATTGTAGCATTTCACCCGAGAGTATTTCAAGGGTATCATATTTATTTTATCTCGTGGGAAGATCATGTAGAGAGAGAACTTGACTAATAATTTATATATTACTTGTGATAATCATATTCTAGGCAGAGATTAAGATAATCCAAGAGTAGAGTGACACACAAGCATTAACTACTCATTCTCATTATATATTATCTAAGCTAAGTGGACGGAAAAGAGAAAGAAAATATATTCCTATACTTCTAATATACATAGTATACATACATTCTAATTAACCGATATACTAGCTAATACCCTCTATCCGATGCCCTCCTGGTACTTCGAGAAGCCACCCCTGACTGCCGAGTTCCTTACGACAGCCCGTCATGACCATACAAGAAGTCCCGTAACGTACTGATGAATAAGCCTGTTGAAGGCGCATTGGTGTTGGTGCCAACACCGTGAAGTTAAGCTTGTCGAAGACGTCTTTTGGCATGACACTGACACTGGCTCCAAGGTCGCACAAGGCCTGGTCGAACAGTTGTGCCCCGATCGAGCAGGTGATCGTAGGACACCCCGGATCTTTCTTCTTCTCCGGGAACTTGTGGAGTATCACGTTGCTGCATTGTTCCGTCAGCTTGACCACCTCCGTTGTTGGGAGCGGTCTCTTGTTGTTGAGTATGTCCTTGAGATAACGGGCGTATGCTGGCACTTGCATAGCGTCTAACCACGGCATGTTGATGTGGATCTTCTGGATTACTTCAACAAAACGAGCGAATTGCTCATCCACTGACGGTTTCCTCATCTGTTGGAGAAACGGCAGCAACCGTGTGTCACAGTACTCCTGCGGCACTGTCTTTTCTGGCTGAACCTCCTTGTCAGCCGAGTCATTAGATGGCGCTTCTTTGGTTATCCCAGTAGCTCCTGCAGGGTTAGGATACGGCGGATCACGAGTCGACTTACCTCCCCTCATCGTGATCGCCTTAACATTTTCAACGGAGGAGTCGGGTTGCCCCGGAATCCTCCCCGTTTCATTTGCAGGGACTAAAGATGCTAACTGAGCTAGCTGGGTTTCTATCATTTTGTTGAAGCTCAGCTGATTTTGAAAAGCAGAAGCAAAGCCATCTAACTTGACATTTATGTTTTCTAGGATCTTGTCAGTGGCAGCAAGTTTTTTGCTTAGCGCATCAGTGGTTTTAGCTTGTGCAAAAACTAGATCCTTCAAGGAGGGCTGGTTAGAAAAGTTATTGTTGTTGTTACCTCCTTGATAATATGGGCGTGGTTGAT